CCGCAGCTGGGGGCCAAGTCTGCAGGGCGGTGCCGGCCGAGGGAAGTAGTCTCCCGCTTCCCACTATTGGGCCCCGCTCTCTGGTCTTTTTCCTTCCACTTTCTAGCCTTTCTCCGACCCACCAACTTGGTTTCCTCTTCCCAGTTTCTGTCGCTCCACACGCTAGTTCCTAAGGGCTATTAGGCTGCTCTGAGACCTCGCAGTCGGCTCAGAACACCCTGCCAAGGAAAGGCATCCTTAATTAGGAGTTCCCTTTTTGGGGACGAGGAGATGGCTCAGTGGAATAAGTGCTTCCCTGCCAAGTGCAAGGGCCCTAGTTTTAATCCCCAATTCTGCCAAAAAAAAAAAAAAAAGGAGTTCACTTTTTACCTGACTAGATCCTCAGCATGGTAACGGGGGCGCAAATCAATGCACAGGCTGATGATTAAAGCATTTTTTCCACATGTAATTGGGAAAACCTAAGGAGGGGATGGTGTCGGTTGTCTTGCAGTTTACCTCAGATGCCCATCATTATTCGCTGTGGAACCAAAGCTGATTCCAAACGCACTGTTCTCAGTCACTATGTGATATGGCAGAAGGAAGAGTCCAATACAGAAACATCCTCTAAACATTTAAGAAGTAGTGACATCTCAGGGAGCACTTTCCTACTTTCTCCACACCTGCTGAGGATAAAACCCAAGGCCTCCTACATTCTAGGCAACGGCACTGTCTCTGAAGCACACCCCTGGCTCTATTTTCTACTTAAAGTTAACTTCTAGGAAAATGTCCAAAATGGGGTTTAAATGAATCATGGGTGGGGAAATGCAAATCCTAAAGTAAGGCACTCAGTGCCTGGGATGGTCTTTCATTCATGCACATTTCCTTTTAGCATTATAATGCTAAATGCTTAGAATGCTTTACAAGCATTTTGGAGTAGCTACTATCTACTATGACTTACAGACCTTAGAAAATTTTTATCACTGTGAAAATCACCATTGACATTAATTATGTGAGGTATAATCCTGCTCATCTAATTTCCTGTTTCAAATGACCTTGTCTTTCTTGGTGTAGACAATGAAACTAAAGCACAGAGAACAACAAATGCCCTGGACTAAGTACCAAAGGAAAAAAGAGGATTAAAATTAGGACTCAAGGGCTGGTGAGATGGCTCAGTGGTCTAAAGCACCTACTTAGAACAAGCTTAGCAAAGCACAGGGACCACGGTTCAATCCCCCAGCACCACATGCCAGCCAGCCCCTCCCCCTGGTAGGCTGAGCTGGCCACACACACACACACACACACACACACACAAATAAATAAAATTAGGACTCAATCGCTCACACAATAGTGGCCATAAGTGACCACTCTTCCCAAATTCTTTACATGCTTTATCCCTAACCTTTACAGTAACCCCAAAAGACTTTGTTTTTCACACCAAAGATTGAACCCAGGGCCTTTGAACTGAGCTACATTCCTGGCCTTTTTTTTTTTATTTTCAAACCACATCTCAGTAAGTTACCCAGGCTGGGCTTGAACCTGTGATCCTCCTTTCCAAGCCTACCAGAAAGTTAAGATTACAGCTGTGTGCCACTACACCCAGTAGGGTCTTCAAATTTTTATTCACAAACTTCTAAAAGGATTTTGAGAAGCTATATACTCCTTCACACATTTTGTCATGGACCTCTAAATTTTTTATCATCATGAAATAGATGCAAAGGATTTAATTTCTTTTTTTTTTCTTTTGCGGAGCCAGGGATTGAACTCAAGCCCTTGAGCTTGCCAGGCAAGCACTTACACAAGTGAGCTATCTCCCCAGCCCCTAAAAGATTTAATTTCTAACATACTATAAACATTGATATTTTAAACTGAAACTTGTTATCACTCTTAAAGATATTTTAAAAAATAAAAATTTAATTTGAGGGTTGGCCAGATAGCTCAGCAGACTAAAGCAACTGGTTAGGCAGGAGAAGGGATGGGATTGATCCCAGGCTGCCATGCTGGTCCACCCCTGGGGCCCACTAGACAGTGCTTGAGACTGGGCATGGTAGAGCAAGCCTGTAATCCCAGCATTTGGGAGGCTCAAAACAAGAATCACTATGAATCTGATGTACGTCGTGAGACCCTGTAGAACCTGTAGACCTTGTATTAAAAAAAAGAAAAATATTTAATTTGAAGCCCTCTATTAAATGCTCAAAGTAAAATAAAATGTACTACACCCTCAAAAATTTATATTGTTCTATTTTTCTCCTTGAAATCCAATATCCTTTATATTCTTGCACCAGAATTTTATGCTACTGTAATATATTTTATACTCAAAATTCTGCTATTATCATATTGAATTTCTCTGCAGCAAAAATATGCCCACAAGTATAAAGTAAATTATTTTTATTTCCTTGTGGCCAAAAGGCTCCAGGTATAAAAAGGTCTTCTGAACTGAATTATAATTGAAATATGCATATAAAATAAAGAAAAAGGAAATAGTACATATTGTGATTATTATTACTAAATATAGAAATATATTAAACTACCATCTCCTTGTGGGATGAGGAAGGTTTAGATTACAGGGCCTTGAATTGACGTTTATGGAGATGAATATCTGAAACTGTCACTTTGTTTTATACCTCGGACCAAAGCACCACAGCAAGTCTCCTGACCTTTGAAAGCAGGCTTTACTTCTGAGAGATTCAGGAGAGCAAGTAGGAAAGGAAAACTGCAGGGGAACTGCGCCTGGTGGTGAACACCTGTAATCCCAGCACTCTAGGAGGCTGAGACAGGATTACCTCAGATTGGAGGCCAGCCTGATCTACATCACCAAGACTTTGTCTCCTAAAAACAACAAAGAAAGGAAAAAGCAAAAAGAAAACTGAACACGGGGGCTGGGGAGATGGCTCAGTAGAATAAGCGCTTCCCTGGCAAGTGCAAGGGCCTGAGTTCAATCCCCGGTTCCACCAGAAAAAAAAAAAAAAGAAAAAAGAAAACTGAACATGAGTTGGCTCAGTAGAATAAGCGCTTCCCTGGCAAGTG